TGGAGAAAATTTGGTTAAATCGCTGATTGTTACCTCTCGATCACTTTGACGACACACTCCAACTCGTCTAAGGTACCATGGACATCAAAGATATCATCCAGGACGGCGATAAGCTGAGTGATTTTGGTGACAAAGATTCTTCCAACCGTGTAATCGGGCTTCAGAAATCCTCCCAATGGCCACATGTAGCCCTCTATCACTCTATCTCGTGCAAATGGAAGCGTAGTTTCGGTATCCAAATCCATCCACCACCTTTTCAAAGAAAAAAAGGAACCTTAATTTAGTGTTTAATTAACTAAAATAAACTTATCAATCCAAGATAAGAGGGAAATAATTTTGGTTCATTACTTAGTAAGAATCATTAGTTCATGTTGGTGCAGCTTCTGAACCAAGTTGAAGTCCAGCTTGCCTAGCTTTAGAATGGCTTCATTGTGGGTCTGGTCTTGCTGGTAGATGGACATGAAATGCTTGGACTCCCTTATTGGCAAACCCTTGAGAATGGGCCACTTTAAGGAGTGCTTCACTTGGTTACCCAAAGGAGAGTCCAATTGGCTAATGGGCTCAAGGTGAGTCCTGGCAAACTCCAGAGCTTCATCCAGTATTTGTTCGCCATTTATTCTGTAGTAAGCAGCTTCGTACAAGCTCAGCAACCCTCTGACATCGTTTTTGAGATCTTGTTTGAAACTTCCCTTCTCGTCTGTGAATTTTCTCAACACAACTTCGTGGCAAAAATACAACAAGAAAACATTATTAATCAACGCGGAGAGAGTCGATTCATCCTAATAATTCGTGTTATTGAAAGATGGTTAATTCAATAGTAGATGTTGTACTGTTACGCTAACTTGTCCAATACGATAACTAATACGATTGCGAATTAGGATTCGAGAGCGGAAGGAGATATTAAATTAATTAAGTGATAACTCACGGGTGGGGTTAATGTGGTAGCCCTGTTGCCTGAGGAGCCGGAATCGGAGGGAAACAGTGTACAAGTCGTCATCTGTATCATCGTCGACGGGGCCATCGCCGGAGATCTGAAGCAAAGCTGCTTCGATTTCGTGTTCGAAATGGTAATCGATGCCCAGCCTCTGCACGGCGTCGATCATCTCCAAGTTCGTCTTATTCCTCTCCGTAGCAGCAACAGCAGCTCCTTTCAGCATCTCCCTAACTTCCTCCTTCAATTGCTCAGCGTCTTCCCTCCATCCACTTATCACCTGCAAACAATTAAATTTCTCAGTAACCTAGCTATAATTATAAACGAACCGTGATAAGTCCATATATGATACTCTGTTTTCTCATTTTCAACAGTAATTTTCACTGAAAGGTTACCGGAGAATGATTATCGGGGCGGGCGAAGAAATCGTTCCAGACGGAAGGGTGAAACTCCACCCTCTTCCTCCGAACTTCTCCGCCTGCTACGACATTCGCCGCCGCCGCCATCTCTCTCTCTCTCTCTCTGAGTTTGTGGGCTTAATTATTTCAGGGGCTTGCTTGCAGATTGGTGTGCTACTAACTCGCTGTGGTGGCTTACTATTTATAGGCTGTAGCTAAGCTGAGGGCTCTTAACGAAGTTAAACATATAGCACATACAGAAAACCTACCTACCAAATATTATTGAATCAAATAAATGTCTAAAAATATTAACAAGTGTGCAGGGAAGACTGATCAAGGGTTGTGACTTGTGCCAGAAGAGGAATCTTTCCATTATATTACATCGAACATGGCCGACGAAGCATGCATGCTTCACGTGTAGTTTTGTCACTGCATCAACATATCTTTGTAATTTATTTATTTTAATTAATTAAAAAAAATTCAGGCCTGGCTGAAAGATTTGCAGATGATTTTCCCTTCTGTTGCTGGTTATTGCGAAGGGAGTTGATTGAACAGTTGGTTGGTGAGGGCTGGTTTATTATTATATCGAAGAGAAGAATGCTATCTTTAGAGAGATCGGGATCATGTAGAGTTATGGATGAAAGGAATTGATTCGTGACTTATAAAGCTATGCTCTGTTTAGAGTCTTTGTGTACATGTATGAGAATTTGCAAGTACAAGCTGCTACTGATTGTGTCATTTTTTGTCATTCACCGTCTAATTAAGCCCGTTAAATCTGTCGTAGGTGGCAGTCAACTCCAACGTTTGACCGTTAAAAACCTTATGTATCATTTAAAAATGAAGAAACATCACAGAGAGAGGGTGAAAGAGACAGCCTTAGAGAGAGAGGATGGAGAAAATCATCAAAAGAGTTAACAAAATTTTTTAATTTTAAAATAATTTTTTTTATAATTCAAAATGACATGTCAATCATATGATGACCTGTCCCTGACGTGTGTGGTGAGTTGGCATCCCAATCAGCTTAAAGTTAACATAACTGACGGTGTCACTAACGCCGTTAAAATATGTAACGGAAATGACTAAATTTGTCGTGAAACTTTCAAAATTCTGGCTATATTTGGTATTTAGCCAAAAATGATTGTTATTGTCACAAACGTAAAAGTTTTGGCTACACAGATGAATTTTGCCTTTTAAAAATGAAGAAACATCAGCCAGTTTCTAGTTCATCTTCCGATGACAGAACCACGTGCTTTTATTATCCCATGAGTTGGCATGGTTGAAAGAATATTTTTTTAAGGGTGATATAAGTTTTATTTTTTGTGTGATTATGGTACTATTTAAATGATTTGAACAAATTGAGACCTCCAGCTTCTAGACTAGTGGTATTACCACTAATCCAAATCCTTCTCCGGAGAAACAAGTGAATATATTTATGGTCAACGATAACTTCATTCTTAAATTAGCGTAATATATTTAGAGTCAATGATAACTTCATTCTTAAATTAGCGTAATGTACAAGTCCTGTATGTTAAATATTTTGAACGGTTCTATCAACAGTTAACCAACGATTTTATAACGATTAACCACTGAACCGCAAACCACTAACATTTTCGGTTTCGCCTCCAGTCTGGTCCTGAAAATAGAGTTTAATGGACAATAGATATAGATCCGATGGACAATAGATGAACACATAGGTTATAGAAAAAGAGAGTGGGGTAAAAGAAGGACTTGAAACTTTCCAACTTCCACTTGGAGGAGTTTGAGGGCCACTATTGAATAATAACTCCAATGTTAGGCTTTAATATATTAAATTAATTAAACATAGCTAGTTAAGAAAATATTGTCAATAAATAAGGTGATAGAAACGCCGGTTTAAGTTAAAATAGTCCATACAAAGATTGGAAAATATTAGGTGTATATTTCAAGGTTATGGAAAATCTTGATCTGACCAAAGATTGAAACAAACTCGAGTTTTGATTTGACCGCAAGGTGGGCCAATGTTTGACCTCGCTTAACCAGATCACCTAGCTGTCAAACCGAAATCACTTTCAATGTTTTGGTCTAGTCAGTCTTATTTTGTTTAGTTTTAATGGATTTTTATACATTTAGTTAGACAAAATTAATTTGTACAGTCATTAACTATCGATTTAGTGACAATAATAGTCAATTTTAGAGAAATACACCAAATGTTCATATTTTAGAAATATGTTTGACAAATTTAGCCACTCCGAGAGAAATAAACAGAATGTCCTTAACTATCGATAGTCATGTCTGTCAAACATGTTTAACAAAATCAGCTTGTACGGTCATACACGATCGATTTTGTGACAATAATAGGCAATTTCAGAGAAATACACAGAAATGTCTAGATTTCGGAAACATGTTTGACAAATTTAGCCACTTCCGTTAAAAATTATAACGACGTCAGAAGTTCCGTCAATTACATTAACAAGACGTTGACGATGATAATGCCAACTTAACGCACACACGTCAGCAGCAACTCGACATGCCATAGTACATGTTTGAGTGCAGTATGAAATTTGCGATTACTTAAATAGCATTGATGCGATACTATACTATCATAGCATTGAAATTTGCGATTACTACTCACTCAATCACTCTGTTTGCACCTCTAACTCCCCTGCTGCTCTGCCCAAACTACGTACGCACCTCACATATGCTTTGTTCATCAGCCTTATAAAATTCCACACTTCCAATCTCTCAGTTCCTCACCCTTCACTCCATCCACCAACAAATGAACCGTCCAATCAAATGAACCAAACTGCTATTATAACAGTTTTAGTGATTTTCCGGTCCAAACGATTATCCTTTTTGGTTCTTTCACTTGAAAACTTGGAATTTGGTAATAAAAAAAAAGGTATGGGTAATCGGATACTATGTATCATACAAATTCCTCTCCATCCAACTCATACAATCAAATGAATACAACTCTAGACAAGATAGAGAGCCATTTTGTCACTTTGTGAGGGATGAACTACGATGTCGATAGATACTTTTTTCTCTTAAAAAAAGCACCATGTCCTATTTCAAGTGCTGCGTTTTCGGAAATCAATATAGTACCACATAATTGAGCACTTTCAATATGCTATAAAGCAATGGTGCTTTAATGTACAACTTGAAATTCTACCATAATGTTAAATGTATAAGTTCATGTTGTAGGTACTAATTTTGTGTGGTCGAAGACTGAATTGAAAATGCTCTCAACTGCTTCTACCGGCAATCTTGTTCCGACGCCGGCGTCACCTCCCTCTGACAGACCGTCGGACCCCTCTCCTGGCCTGGCCGATGCAGCAAGGGAGTTGGCGACGGACACGACCTCATCTGAGATGCTTATTGATGGTTCAATGACAAATCAACAACCTTGTTCGCCTCCTGCTCTGGTGCAACAGTTTTCCTATGCCAAGGCGGTAGCTGGGTGGAAAGGTGGGCCTTCATCCTCTACAGAGGACTCCCAATGGACACCGGTGGGGGTCAATGATCTCATCCCAGGCGAACGAAATGGAGAACCTGCTTTAATTGTTTCAGCTGATTTCAGGAATAGGATTTGTGCTCCGTGGCAGCGCACTCTGGTTGTCCGGCTGCTTGGATTAAAGGTTGGATTCGTTACACTATGCTCCCGCCTTCGAAGCCTCTGGAAACCCGTGGGTAATATGGAGGTTCTGGATCTCGATCATGCCTGCTTCCTGGTCAAACTCGACAATGAGCAAGATTATTTCAGGGCTCTTACAGATGGGCCTTGGGTGATCTTCGATCACTACCTCTCCGTTCAGCAATGGACGCCTCAGTTTAAAGTTTCAGACCCTCTACCTAAGAAGATGATCGTGTGGGTGCAGTTCCCGGCGCTGAAGATACATTTCTACCATAAAGAAGTTCTCACATCGATCGGAAATCTCATCGGAAGAACCATTAAACTCGACTATCATACGCTCAATAGACAGCGAGCGAAGTTTGCTCGTATTGGGTGGAAGTCGACTTGACCAAACATCTGGTGCCTCGGATCTGGCTTGATGATGCCTGGCAGAAAGTGGAGTATGAGAACCTGCCGGCGGTCTGCTTTGAATGTGGGAAGATCGGACACACCGCTGCCGAATGCCCTTTAACTCACACGCCCTCTCCGGCGACTACGTTAGCCATTACCGGGCCGGCAGGTACGTCGGGGACGGCGGAGCAAGTCATCGGCGATCCGAACCCGGGCTTCGGCCCTTGGATGCTTGTTTCCCGCAAGAGTCGACGGAATCTTAGGGATCAGGAGAAAAAAGGAAGGTCCGAAAGCGAAGTTAGGAATCAGAATCAAGGGAATCAGAACAATTTCGGGAAAGGTGGAAATTTCAACAAGGAAGGAGGAACCACTTCGCCCTCAATCACGTCCCCCGCCAAAGACGTTCCGCAACGGGTCAGTAACCAAGAAAGGAAAGATGGGAACGGGAAGAATAAGGGAGAAGAAAGGAAAAAAGGAAAAGCCGTGGTGACCACTGAAGTTTCAGTTGGAGAAGCAGGCCTTCTAGGCCCAGGACCTGACCGAGGCCCAAAGTCTACCAACAAAAACCAATCGGGCCTCTTCATCGGCCCATCCCCCGGTAACTCACGGAAATAGCAACAAAAACCAGCCCAACAAGGCTCCTGGCATCGAGATGTCTTCTACCTCGCAACCAACCCTTCAAACAGTGATTGGGCCTAACGGCACAGTGATGCAAATAGTGGAGGTGACGCCGTCAGCCTCTCAACATCGCGAAAGATCCACCCACAACTCCCCGTCGACGGCTTCCCGAACAAAGAAAAGCAAAAAACAAAAGGACCAGAGGACGAAGTCGCCGATCAAGCTTCCCCCCTTGAAAGCGCTGCAAATTTGGACTCCTAAGAAAGATAGGAAGACTAAGTCAAAAGCAAGGATGGCAACGCTCACTCTCCAGGAGATTGACGCGTGGACTAGTGCGGCGAAGGGTTCGATCGGAGACAAAGCTCCGGCCTTCCACGCCGAGGGGAAACATCCGTCTCCTTCACCGGGAGAGGACGCTTCCTCTCCGACAACCTGAGGGGCTCCCCTCCTCCTCCTCCTTCCCTTCTCTTCTTAGTCTTTCTTTTTCCCTATGTCTATGTCTATGTCGATTGATTTACAAACTAAAATTCTCGCGTGGAATGTTGGCGGTGCAGGTGGTAGAGCCTTCCTCCGGGCTCTGAAATTGATCATCCACACTCATCGCCCTGATATTGTTATCCTCTTGGAGCCTCAGATTAGTGGAGCTGCGGCGAACTCGCTGTGCGATAGACTGGGCTTCCCCAAATCAATTCGGGTGGAAGCTTCGGGGCGCAGAGGCGGTATCTGGGTTTTCTGGAACCACAACGTTTCCTCGGCTGAGATGGTCTCGTCGTGTAATCAGCACATCACTCTTCAGATTGAGCAGTCGAATCGCAGACCCTGGATGCTCACGGCGATTTACGCCTCTCCCAAGTACAGTGAGCAACACCCTCTCTGGGAAACCATTTTCAGGGAAAGCCGGCGTTTTGATATCCCATGGCTGCTTACGGGGGACTTCAACGCGATCCGTGACCTAGAGGAGAGGGCCAATCCGCCTGCTAGTAATACTGTCAGAAGGTGTCGTCTCTTCAATGACAGGATCAACATGGCTGAGCTGGTTGACCTTGGCTTCTCGGGTCCGAAATACACTTGGACCAGGGGAGACCAACCCCAAACGTACAGGGCGAGCCGGCTTGACAGAAGTCTGTGCAATGTGGCTTGGAATGAAGCCTTCTCGAATACCTCGGTTATTCATCTCCTGCGGGCGCAGTCGGACCACAACCCCATCTTAACTTCGGTGGCCTCCCATAACGGATCATCCCCCAATGATCGTCCCTTCCGCTTGGAGGCTGCCTGGTTCAGTCATGAGAAATTCCAAGACTTCGTGGCCCCCGCTTGGAATGAGCAGGTTCCCCTCCCGAATGCTCTCCTCAATCTGGCAGGTGGTCTCAAGGAATGGAACTCTACTACCTTTGGGAATATTCAGAAGAAAAAGGCCCGCTTCCTGGCTCGTATTAAGGGAGTGGAAACTAAACTTGCCGTGCTTTTCTCCCCCGGTTTGGCAAAACTTCACTCGAAACTTGAAGCCGAGCTGGACAGAGTTTTGGAACAAGAAGAGATATATTGGTTCCAGCGAGCTAGAGACAATTGGGTAAAGTTCGGGGAGAGGAACACAGCTTATTTCCACCAGCAGACTAATTTGAAGAGGAGGCGGAAGAAGATCGAGTCGCTGCTGGATGACAATGGAACCTGGGTGTCTGAGCCTCATTCCATAGCGCAGATGGTTTTTGAGTTTGTTACTAATCTTTATCTGCAGGATGATTCGGCCTATGAAGACAGACTTCCGAAGGGCTCTTTCCCTCGGCTGAGCCAAGCTGAAATGATCACCCTGCTGCGTCCCTTCTCTGTCTTGGATATCCATAGGGCAATTTTTGACATGAAACCTTTTCAAGCCCCTGGGCCTGATGGATACCACGCAGCCTTCTATCAGCATTTTTGGATTTTTGAATTTTTCTCGACAGGGACGCTGCCAGAGTCAGTAACTGACTCTACCCTGGTTCTGATCCCTAAAGTTGAGGTTCCTGAGAAAGTGACTCAGCTTAGACCTATCTCCCTCAATAATGTCAGCTTGAAAGCGATCACCAAGGCGATGACTAGCATATTGAAGCCTATTATGAGGAATCTTGTCTCTCCTCGTCAGAGTAGCTTCATCCCGGGTAGACAGACTGCCGATAACATTCTGGTTGTTCAAGAAGTCTTACACTCCTTCAGGAAGAAGAGGGGGAGAAAAGGGGGTCTGGTTTTCAAGATCGATTTGGAGAAGGCTTATGACAGGCTGAGATGGGATTTCCTAAGGGACACTCTCAAGGAGGTTGGACTCCCCAACTCGTGGATCAGCTGCATTATGTACTGTGTGGAACAGAATAGGATGCGGATTCTTTGGAACGGAGATCTGTCTCAACCGATATACCCGTCCCGAGGAGTTCGTCAGGGAGACCCCCTTTCCCCTTATCTTTTTGTTCTTTGTATGGAGCGTCTGTCTCACAGGATTGATGAAGCTGTTCTAAACGGACAGTGGAAACCTGTGAGGCTTTCCGCGAATGGTCCTCCTCTAACCCATCTTTTCTTTGCGGATGACCTTTTATTGTTTGCAGAAGCAGAGTCGCGCCAAATTGATGTGGTCAAGCAATGTCTGGAAGACTTCTGCTACAGCTCTGGTCAAAGGGTGAATTTTCACAAGTCTATTATGTATGTGTCACCTAATTTATCTCGCAGGAAAGCCTCTATCTTGAGTCAGCGTGCCGGGATTCCCCTGAAGGCGGCACTCGGGAGGTATTTGGGTATCCAAGCTATTCAGGAGCGCATGACGAAGGATCGCTACCAGCCTCTTTTTCTGCGCATCCAAAAGCGTATGGCTCCGTGGAAGGCGAAGCGCCTTTCCTTTGCTGGCCGGCTGACCTTGGCGAAATCCGTGGCTGCCTCGCTTCCTGTGTACAACATGCAGACGGAGCTCCTTCCTAGCAGCGTCTGCAAGTCCATTGATAAGCTTAGCAGAGATTTCATCTGGGGCGATGATGAAAACAAGGCCAAGATGCATCTAGTGAGTTGGGATGTGATGACCCGTCCTAAACCACTAGGGGGAGTGGGGATCAGACCGACTAGGCAAGCAAACTTGGCTCTTCTAGCCAAGAATGGATGGAGATTACTAAAAGACAAGGAGTGCCTTTGGACTCAGATTATGAGGGCGAAATATGGGCGCCAAAGACAAGGACTTGAAGTTATCCGGCCTTCTCAGGGAAGTTCCTTCACCTGGGCTAGCATTGCTAAAACTGCTAGTCTTATTAAGCAGGGTTGTGCGTGGAAGATTAAGAAAGGGAAGAGAACTAATTTTTGGCTTGATATTTGGGTTTCGCAGGTTCCTCTCCGGGAATTGGCAATTGACAGCATCCCGATGGACTTGGAGGGGATGAAAGTTGCTGAGATGGTTCGGGATGACGACACGTGGAAAACGGAGCTTTTCGAGCACCTCCTCCCAAGCGAGATCACTCAAAAAATTTTGAGCATCATGGTTGATACGCTGGCGCAGGAGGATGATGACATCTTTTGGGCGGCGGCGGCTGATGGAAAATTCTCCACCAAGTCAGCCTATAACCTTCTTACCCAGCATTCCCAGCATCTCTCCGCCCATGACGAGAAGACTTGGAAGACTATCTGGCGCCTCCCCACCCCGGAGCGTATTAGGAGTTTCATGTGGCTGGCGTCTTCGAACAAGCTAGCTACAAATGTGATGCGCCACTTCCGGCGGGTTGCGGATTCCCCCTGCTGTATGCGCTGCCCTGGAGTCCCCGAAACAGTCCTCCATATTTTGAGAGACTGTCCGCCCGCCTTGTTCTTCTGGGCGCGCCATGTGCCCACTGAGATGCAGCAAAGGTTCTTCAACTCTAATCAGCAGGATTGGTTCCGGGATAATCTGATGTGCTCTACTTCTACTGCCTCGGGGATAGAGTGGCCTGCCTTCTTCAGCACCACCTCTTGGCTCCTCTGGAAGAATAGAACCACTTCGGCTTTTAAAGGAATCGGGGCGGCGCTGACCCCTCACTCGCTTGAGCATTCGATCATTGCAAGGGCGAAGCTGTGGCATGACTCGTGGGTCTCTCCTTCTCCCCTGCAGAATACCAGGTCGCATGCCGTGGAGAGGACGTTGGTTAATATTGGGTGGACTCCGCCGGCGGAAGGGTGGACTACTCTGAACGTTGATGGAGCCTCGAACGGGAATCCGGGGCCAGCAGGGGCTGGTGGACTTCTTCGGGATCACACTGGGATTTGTCTCAAATGTCGGGTCGGCGTCGGCAACCCTTGCGGAATTATGGGCCATCAACCATGGCATTGACCTCGCCTGGAAAGAGGGTTTCAGAACCCTGAAGATCGAGTCAGACTCAAAAATGGCGATCCAACTCATTG